ACTCATGAATCTGCATTTTTCAGGTTTCTCAGAGGGTCTGAGGCCTATGACAGACAATCAAGACCATACTGAAATGCCCATTGTTTACAAATATTATAATGGGTGGTGATTCTCCTTAGCACTTTGGTACAACCTCAAATTATATCCTAAAAGCATTCCCTTGCAGAGAGCAAAGTCTCTGTTTTCTTTTACAATGTATTATGAGGATTTATTTTTCTAAATATGAGTTATTACTTTGTGGAGTTTATTACTTTCTGCAGTTATTTTATTACTTATTACTGGAGTTAGGTTATTACTTTCTTAAGTTATTACTTACTTTACATACTTTATATAATCCATTTACTGTCTCCCTTTCTCATTAGATTATAAAGTCCATGAAGACTGAGAATTGTTTATTATTGAGGAGAATTGTGTTATAGTAGCCCCAGACAACTGAGATAGGCCTCATCTATGTCACTGAGTCAGCCTCCCTTTGCTGAGGTGATAAAACACAAAGACTATTTATGTACAGCTTGCTCACTACCCAGCCTCATTACCAGAATGTCAGAAATACAAAGGGCGAATGTCTTACTCCACTGAAGCCATTAGATGATCACTATAGTTTAATACTTTTATTGCAAAAGAGCTTAAACAATTGTTAGGAATGTTTGCCCTAAAACCGTAATTTTACACTGGAAGTTATTTGTCACTCAGAGAACATTTACCAATGTTTGGAGACTGTGATTTATGTCATTTGCGGGATGTAGATCACTGCTGCCATGGAGTGAGCCGAGTGCTAGATGCTGGTTACCACCCAGGACCACCATGAACGAGGGCCACACATTTAAGGGAATCTCAGAGCAGTTAGGCTCCTGCTGCCAGAGGACTGCTGCCAGTATGGGGCAAAAAAAAATTTCTCCAAAGGCCAAGGTACCACTTGTTCATGTAAAGCTGAAATGACATTAAGGCCAGTCTAACATCATTCTCAAATATCCACTCTCCAAAATAAACAGGCCTCTCTGGGTCCTCCATACCTGGCTGGTGAAGGACTCTTAATTGTATTCTCCCCCAAATGGAAAGATCAATCAAGAGAGGCCCAATATTTCATGTAACCATACTTTATTTTTTTTCTCATCTGAGCATATTTTTTCTCACTGGAGACTCAGGGGGAGGGAGAGAAAAAAAGAGAGAAAGAGAGATGGGGGGAGAGAAAGAGAGAAGGAGAGAAACACATCGATGTTGAGAGGGAAACAGGGACTTGGTTCCCTTCTCATATGCACACTGACCAGGGGTTGAACCCATAATCTGGGTATGTGTGCTGACTAGATACTGAATTCGTGATCTTTCCACACATATGATGACACTCCAACCAATGATGCCACCCTAGTATGGGCACACATTTCATTTATAATGAGACCTCTAGCTGGCTAATTTTTGCTTTCAAAAGAGAGGACTTATTAGTTGTCACAGTAGCCACATGTTCATACACCAAAAGGGGCTTCCAGGAAACTATTGCTTCCTTTTCCTGAGGATCTGAAAGACAAAATCCATGGTCACAGAGACTCTCCATCTCTCATGAGTCCTGTAAAGGCTGGGCCTCCTGTAGATGATGGGGAGCCAGAGCAATAACAGTTGTTCCCTCACTGCTGTAAGGACTGAGCTCAGTACATCTGCCCCAGAATCCCAATCAGGTGTTATTGGAGAAGACAACTCTGAATATAATTAGGTTGCATCAGCCACACTCAATGGCATATGGTCAATGATACACTGGACAGGTATCTGGAGACTGAGGTCAAAGAAAATATCACTCATGTAAAGAAAACAGCATATATCAGAGGTCAGTGGTACTTGAACTAAACCCTCCTCTAGCCAATGAAAAGAGACAGGGTAGTTTGTCTCAGTAATTATTGACATTCTGATGTAAAAAATATTACAAAATAATGTTGCCTTTTTCCAAGGGGTTCTTCTATGACCTGTGTGTCTCACAAAATTAATATGTGGAAACCCACCACCCTAGGTCGTGGTATTAGGATGTGGAACCTCAGAAGATGATTAGGACATAAGGGCAGCATCCTCATGAATGGGACTGATGTCATTAAAAAGGCCCAAGTTGAGCCCCGTTGCCCTGCTGCCTTGTGAAAATGTGTTGACAAGGATGAGAATAGTCAAAAATATCTTACACTGCTGTTTGTTATAGAAACTGGTATATTTTCCAAACCTTTCTGGCATTATGTCATAGTGATAGGAAATATAAACCTGTCACCCAACTACTCCACCATCACATATGTCACCTACAGAAATGTGGTATTATCTCACCAAACATGTCTATTTTTTCTTTTCTTTTTTTTTTTAGAGAGATTTTATTTATTTATCTTTAGAGGGGAAGAAAAGGAGAGAGAGGGAGAAATATCAATGTATGGTTGCCTCTCATGTGTCCCCTGCTGGGAACTGGCCTGCAACCCAGGCATGTGCCCTGACTGGGAATCGAACCATGATCCTTTGGTTCACAGGCCCACGCTCAACCCAATGAGCTATGCCAGCCAGGGCTGCAAACATGTATTTAACATATATACCAGCACCATTTCTAACAACCCCATATGGGAAACCACCGATAATCCAATGAACTAAAATGATTCAATGAAGTGTTTTTTTATTCACACATAGAATCCTATACCGCAATGCAATGGAATGATCAATACTAACATGCAGCAATCAATACAGCAATAATGTAAGGAATGACAGACACCAAACATAAAAGAGTTAATACTCTATGATTGCCTTTCTATCAAGCACAGAGCAGGGGAAGTGACCTCTGCTCTAACACTGCTTATCCTGACGAGGAGTGACAGAGAGAGAGAGAGAGCGCAGAAAGGACTCTTGGGGTATGACAGTATTCTACTTATTGATCATAGTACTCAGTATAGGGGTGTGTTCGCGCTGTGGACTGTCATTCAGCTGTGCACATATGACCTATGCATGTACCTTTAAATTCTTTAAATATGCATCAAAATTATTAGGGATTGGATCAGGTAAATATATTAGTATTGTAATGTCCTTGTGTTGTAAAGATGGCATTTATTAGGATTAAAGGAAATGACACTGTGTAATTAGTTTTTAAATATATGCTGAAATTGCTGGTTAGAAACTAACAAACAATGAGGATGCAAATTTCAATGAAAAGGTGTTCATGATAAATTAGAATTATAATGTAGAACTAAAATACATAATTATATTTTAAAGTAAACCAGAAATAAATTGTCACAGGGAATTTAAGAAAATGATCTCTATTAATGCCAAACTGTATCAAATATTATAATAAAGTTAAATAGATACATTACTCCTTTAAAAATCAAACATTTTTACTATGTTTATGAATGTCTTTTCAAGGAATAAGGCCAGGTAATAGAATTAAATATATTTTATGTCATTTCAAACATTAAACAACTAGCATGGCAATATGCACATTGCATTAAAAACACTTTAAGATTTTGTCATTATTGTACCCTAACCTTGAACAATCACCAACCTCTTCAGTCAGCAGCCATCAACATTGAGGAAAGACCTCCACCAGCAAAAAGATTATAACTCACTGAAGGCTGAGATGATGGCTAACATTCTTGAACAATAAAGTATTTTTCTTTCTTCTTTTTATTTATTTATTTATTTATTTATTTATTTATTTATTTATTTTGGTTATTTATTTGTTGTTCAAGTACAGTTTTCTGTTTTTTACTCCCATCCCAGCCCCCCCCCAGTGCTCCCCACCTCCCTCCAATTTCCACCCCCCCCCTTATTTTTTATCCATGTGCCCTTTATGCTTGTTCCTGTAAACCCTTCTTCCCCTTTTCCCCTGAAATTCCCTCCCCTCTCCCTTCTGGTCCCTGTCAGCCTCTTCTCTATCTCAGTGTCTTTGGTTATATTTTGCATGCTTGTTTGTTTTGTTGTTTAGGTTCCTGTTAAAGGTGAGATCATATGGTATTTGTAAAAAAAATACTTATTATTGTAATTAGCACAATTTTAAAATTTTGTTACTGTACAACTTTCCAATATATTGAGTGACTTAATATGTAAATGTGTATATACATATATACACACACACAGGCATACACATATATACACACATATGCACACAAATTCCAAGCATGTGTGTATCTCTATACATGTTTTCTCTTCTTGCTCTTTGATGTCTATACTGCCATGTTTCACATAAGCTGAAAATGCAGGCTTTTTTATTGTGGTACAATGCTCAAAATATATGTCAGTTAGGTGAATATAATTATTTTGTTCTTCAATACACTGAATTATCAATACCTTCTTTCAGCTCCAAAATTTACATACAGAAAGAACAATCTGAAATACCTACTAAAATTAAGGAAATATCCACTTTGGTTTTTGACAATCAATGAATTATAAACTTTACATACACAGAATTAATTCCTGCTTTTTTCTTCTAATGGCTCCACATTTCATGGAAGTCCCCACCATGAACTAGTGTCATGACTTTAGAGACCAGAGTGTGCACCTGCAGGTCTCCTTTTTTCAACATGTCCAGATCTTCTTCACAAAGGAACCATTTGCCTTCTGCAGGTCCAAATTCTGTGAAATTCACATCTTTTGAAATTGCCACACTCTCATGATGTAGTTTAAACACCAGCTAAAGTGTAATTTCATGCTCCCCTGTTCCCCACTGCAGTTAGATCTGGCCATTTCCACCTGAATATGTGTGAACAAGCCTTCCCATTATAACATCGTATTTCAATAAATGACCACTTTCTCTCTAAGAATGTCATGTACAAGATCATAACAGGCTCCCACAAGCTTTCCTCATGAACTGAATTTCCCTCCAGTTGAAACCAATGGCTTACTATTATTAAAGTTACTATTATAAATTATTTTTTACTTTGATGAAAGTGCTTACCAAGACCTGTTTACCATTTCACAGCAATATACTCATAAAGGGACTTATAACTCTGAGAGGGATGAGTGATTTATCAAATGAACATTATACAAATACATAAAACTTACATACTTCTCATAACTTTAGGGGATTTTTTATTGCTTAACCAGGCAAAGCTGAGCCTGGAGACACTGGAGTCACGACTCAGGATCAGAAAAGAGCTGACAGTTGGGAAACTCAGAGAGAGTACTGAACTGGTGTTCCTGATGAACCAGTTGGGGTTCTTTAAAATAGATAAAAGAATATGAAAGATGGAAGAAAGGGCATTCAAAAAGACAAATGTGCTTACCAGGAGAATAATGGTTTTGGTAGCTCTGGCCTCAGGAGAAGATGGAGAGAAGAGGTGGGTTCTGTGAATGTGTTGGACCCTCTACTTGTGTCTATGCAGGATGCAGACCATGGAGCAACTTGCCCAGAGCATGAGTGCAAAACATAAAAAATCAGGGGATGCTATCAATACTGCGTGTAATGAGTCCCCTATTTTATCATGACGAACAGACGAACAGTACCCAAAATGTTTCATATTGGTGATATTTTTGTACCTCAAAGTGCTAGACATATATGTAAGAAAAACAACATTTATCAACATTTGCAGGACCCAGTACAGAAAAATTAAAGGGACAATGTACTTGGGAGCTTTATGTTTAAGCTCTGCCCACCTGGAGTTCATGGGGGTGATGGTGATGGCTTGGATGATGCTCAAAAGGCAGGTGGTGCCAATGGACACACCCCTGCGCACAACACGTACATAGAAGAAAAATCTGCATCCCAAATCAGTGAAGTGATGATACCACCCAAAGGATGACATGGTATGGGAGACTCCACTAGAAGACAGAACTGAAAAATTGGCCATGATCAGGTTGCTGACAATCAAATCTGTGAACCTCAGCCTGTACCCAGTAAAGTAAAGTAATAAATAATGATAAAGAAGAGAGAAATTCCCCCAAACTCCAATTATGGTGTGTAGTAAGAAGACCATTCCTCCTGCCAAGTCCCTGGTGGCCATACCGTGTGTTCTCAAGGACTGATCTTTGTCTTCTGAACTGGAGGACCCTGCATAGGAATATGAGGCATAAGCCACATGTATCATGTTAGCTGTACCCTGAATATTCTCCACTTACCTGTAGTCCAAGTGAAACAATGAGTTATAGTTTTTCTGTCATTTATTGTCTTCTGAGGGTTGAATGTGCTATCATTAAGGAACCATTTTTTAAAATAAATCATTACTATAAATTCCATACATGCCATTTCTTCTGTACCCCTCACTAATTCACAATGCCAGCAAAATCAGGATGGCCACAGATATACTCAGTAAGTTTTATCCCAGGAAGAAAAGTATAATTCCATGAGTCATCAGAAATATAGGATAGAAAAGTTAGATGCCTGATAAACAATATATAGTATAATCAAAATTATTACTAATTTCGGATCATATAAATATTTAGATCTAGGTTAAATATGGTATTTGTCTTTCACTACCTGGGTTATTTCACTTAGCATAATGCTCTCTAGTTCCATCCATGCTATCACAGAGAGTAGGAGCGCCTCCTTTCTTTCTGCTCCATAGTATTCCATCATGTAAATGTATCATAGTTTTTTGAGCCATTCATTTATTCATGGGCACTTAGTTTGCTTACAACGCTTGGCTATAATGGGGAGAAAAAAGGTAAGGGTTTTCAGGAGCAACTATAAAGGTCACATGGATAAAACCATGGAGGTTTGGGGCAGTGGAATCAGGGGAAGGAGGTGGTCATGGCTGAGGTCAGGGGGACTGGAGGGGGGAAAAGCAGACAATTGTGCTTGAACAATAATAAAATAAGATAAGTGAAAATGTTAAAAAGCTCAGTTAAGTAAAGTAATTAGCAGTAAGGATACAAACAAAATAACTGGTAAGAGAAAAACCTGTATATTATATAAAAAGCTTTTTTCTGTATCAATATTATACAATATTTAACAACTAAAACAAATAAGCAATCTTGATGAAAAAAGAGGCAGAAATATCATAAGATACATCTGAACCTGATGTGATTACTGAAATTCATAGTTATATTTTTCCTATGCTGTTTCCCTAACTTTAAAAAGGAATAGTCTGTTTATAATCAATAGAGACAGAATCATTAAATCTATTAAGCCCAACACACACCCAGAGTTAAAGTCTCTACCTCAGCAAATGCTCTCAGACACTCTTTCCACACAGCGTCAAATGATTCCTACTAACTGAAACACATGGAGCTATTGTATTAGAGTGCCCCTCGAGAATCCTGATAATTATGTCTGTGATTCCTGTAAATTCCAATGAATAGAGACTGACTTCAGAATGCCAGAGCTTAGGCACAATAAAAATCAGGGTCCTTATTGCTGGATAAAACACAACCATCACTGTGAGTACCACACTACTTCACATCAGTAGCCACAAGCTCAGCTCAAGCCTCAAGAATTTCTTCCCCTGCCCCCCTGGCTTTGGTGCTAGGCCACAGTCACTCACGGAAGGTATCTTTGTCCAGTATGTTCACTTACTCCGACTCCTGATACACCTTCCTTTACAGTCTCTACATCTCACATTGATTAAAAAAGGAAACCCAACAACTTCTTCCCGCTGCCTGCATGCGAGCTCATCCTGAAGTCAGCACTGTCAGTAACCAGTGGAGGCAGCCAGACCCTGAGATATGGATTGTGATTCAATGACCTCACCTCCCCTCTAAACTGCAATTATTACTTTACCAGTAGCAGCACTTGCCCTGACAGGCTCGGGAGCTGAGAGTACTTCTCAGAATGTTTTTCTCAGTTGGAATTACCAAGAACAACTCCAAGATTTCACCAGTGTCTCTTAGGAGACTCTTGGAGTGTTTGTGAAGGCTTTTTGTTTCCATGATCCCTGGAGCACACAGGGTCTCGCTAGGGACAGACATCAGGAAGTGCTCCCATCTCATGCCTGAGGGACAAGAGCAAGACTGCATGTCTCACTGGACATTCTGCTTCATTGGGAAGTTCCACCCAAAGTGAGTTCTTTTCTAATCTTCATACAAATGTGCTGCACTACATCTACATATTGAGCAAAGAAATAAACTGAGCTAAATATCCTAGAAAAATTTAAAAAGAGGGAAAAATGACAGAAAAAAATGTGTACATTGGATAACACTGCAGTCATTGGTTCAAGTCAATGTCATCTCATATGGAAACTTTAAGAGAAAATACACATACATTATCCATATCCACCCCCAATAGGGAACAATAGAAGACACAGAACAATATCCATAGAAGAAAGACAGAAGGTCCTAAACAAAACCCTGTCATACACAGCACCAGAATTATAGAGGTTTAACAGGCAGATTTTTCCATTTTTGTAACTTTCAGAAGCCAGTGCCACTTACTGAGTTCAGGACCATCGAATTGTTGGCATAGTTCTCTAAACTTTTTTGTATAATATTCAGTAAGGAATTGCAATTGATTTTTAAATTGAGAAGAAAATTTTTTGATAGGCAAAGGGAAAAACATGTACAATTTGAAGTTAATTTTTTAGGTTTTCCTATACACAAGGAAACTCTTTGATCCATTCACTATACAATTACCCCCATTAGCAAGTCACTTGTTAGAGCAATAATGGTGGACAACTCATTCCATACACACACTCATTTACATATAGATGTAAATGCATGCATGCACACTCAAATACACACACATACAATAAATCATGTACTCATAAAATTTCAACTGCACGGTCATAATGCACACACTGAGCACACAAAAATTCACACACATAAATACACATAAATATGCACGCTCACCTAAAATCACACTCACTCTCTTGCATAAAATCAGTCACCATGCATGTGTATATTTCAATAACATGACCTGTTCCAAAAGAATTTTTCTATGTTCAGAATTCTGGATGCCCGAAAAAGAGGTTCAGTTCAGTCCTCTCAATTTTCCCAAGTACAGTTCTCTCAATTTTCACTTGTTTTGAGAAAAATTCCCGGCTCTTGTGACGTCATAATCAGAAGACTCCACCAAGACACCCACATTTCCAGCATAATATAAGAAAATGAATGTTGCATTCAGCTGCTAAATTTGTGGTAATTTGATACATCAGTAAAACTAAAGTAATACACATGAGAACAAATTTAAGAGTAAAATATTTAAACAAAATAAAATCAAAGTCTTCGTGAATTACCCATGACCAATACAATTCTCACCTCCAGATGTAACAATTTTCATCTGAAATATACCCTGAGATATATGGTACAATATTTCTAATGCAGTCTAAAATGGATCTGAAATAGAATTATACACAAACAAACATACACACAAAATCTAACATATTCTGCTCTTGACTCACTATCTAGGGGTAGAGAAGTGAAGGTTTTCAAGTTACATAAACCTGGCATTTCAGGAGGAAGAAAAGACTCACATATGACCAGCGAATCGGTGCTTGCCTGAGAGAGGTATTTTCCCTTATTTTATTTTTCCTTTTCTCTAGGCTTGTTGCTCATTATCTTGAAAAAAAAAAACAACAACCACATGTGGCAAATACATCTCTTTTTATGGCATCACCATAGCCCTTCTGTTATGGGTGGAACTGTGCTCCTTCAAAATTACCATGTTCAGTCTTAACCTCCAGTGCTTCAAAATGTGTCCTTGTTGGAAACAGAGTCACTGCAGATAGTTAACACGAGACTGTCTGGCCTAGGGTGGGTCCCTAATTCAAAGGACTTGTGTTGTTATTAAAGGGGGACTTGGAGGCATGCACACATGCACACAGGAGAACTCCACATAAAGACTGGAGTTATGCTGCCACAAGCCAAGGAAGGGGAAGCTGGGACAGTGTCCTGGAACAGATTCTTCCTTAGGACCTTCAGAGAGTTTTGCTAGTCAGAGAACTAGCACTGCAATACACACATCTTATGTTTATCAGATAACATAAATTTTGATTTTCACATTGTTATGTTAGTAGTAGTTTTAAAAAACTTTTGTACATTTATAAACACCATCAAGAAAGTAAAAAGAACCCAGAGAACGAATGGGGGAAAATATTTCCAAATCATGTATCTAATAAGAATCCAGAATTCAAAGTATGTAAATAACTCTTATAACTCAACAAGACAGAAAACCTGGACAAACAGCAGGTAAAAGTAAACAGACATTTTTCTAGAGAAAATATACAGGTGGCCAAAACACACATGAGATATTTAATGTAAACTTGGTCATTAATAAAATGCAAATCAAAAGCACCATGTGTAACATCCATTAGGATGGCTAATATAAGACAAAAAATAAAAATAACAAGTGTTTGTAAAATACAGAGGAATTAGAACCCTTAAATATTGCTGGTGGAAATGTGAAAGAGTGCAGTTGGTGGGGAAGTATTGTGAATAGTTCCTCAAAAAAATGAACATAGAATAAACATATAACCCAGCAATTTCAATCTAGGTATACACCCTAAAGAACTGAAAGCAGTAATTCCTGATCTGTATTTTTCTACACAGAAGCATGATTTCCAATAGCCAACATGGAACTGAATGAAATGTCCACTGATGGAGGAATGAATAAAGAAAGCATGATATACACATGCAATGGAATATTATTCAACCCCATAAAAATGAAATTGTGATACATGTTACAGCTTCAATGAGTCTTCAAACCATTATGCAAACTGAAATAAGCCAGACACAACAGGATAAATATTGTATGATTGTACTTAAATGAAGTATTAAGACAAGTCAAATTCTTTGAAATAAAATGTAAAATAGTGCCTGTCAGGAAATGGTAGGAGGGGAAAATAGGTACTTATTGTTTAATGGGTATTAGTGTTTTAGTTTGTGATGATGAAAAAGTTCTGGAAAGGGATGGTGATAATGGTTGTTCAATAAAGCAAATGTACTCAATGCTATAGAAACTTACACTTAAAACTGGTTGAAACATTAAATTTTGTTATGTATATTTTACCACAATAAAAGATAGTGAGAAAACCACTTTATACCCACTACAGCCACTGTAGAAAATAATTTGGGTATTAACTTCATAAGTTACACATAGAATGTGACCTAGCAATTCCACTCTTGCATATATACTCAAAAGAACTGAAAACATGTT